TGGAGCTCTGCGCCCACCCTCCACTTCTGGTTGTTGGGGTGAGTGTGCAGGGAGGGTTGAGTTGTGCAGCAAGTATGGCTGAGAGTTTGTGTTTGTGTGTGTGTGTGTGTGTGTGTGTGCGTGTGTGGTCCAGCCTCCAGGGGCACAGTTGGGTGTTGCGGGAGAGCGCCCCTCACCCCACACTTCCCAGCTGCCCCTCGCATCCCATTCACAGAACATGGCTTTCAGGACCCTCCTGGTCTCCTCCTCCCGTCGCCATGGCTGCGGGGAGTGGGGGGAGGAGACAGTTGGAGCCAGCCCCCTGCCCCTGCTGCTCCAGCTAACCCCCCACCTGCCCTTTCTCTCCCTTCCACAGGCTGGGCCCCATCCCCTGCTGCTCTGGGGGGCAGGGGCCGGAAGATGGTGGCCAATGAGGAGGGGGAGCGGAGAGAACTTGAGCCAGGGCCTCCCCTCCCCCATTTCCTCCTCTGTCTCTACACCCGCTTCTGGAAGGAGCTGGGGGATGGCTCCTGGGCCCAAGGTGGGGGAGGGGCCCTACTAGCTGGTGAATTGCTGGGCCCGTTCCTCAGGAATGAGTTGAGTGTGAGAGCTGAGGGGCTCTTGGTCCCAATCCCCTCTTCCTTCATACCATAAGGAGAGATCTAGGAACTCCTTTGGGAAGAATATTCCCTTAGCTTCTTCCTAAGCTTGCTGGGCAGCCCTGTCCTCTGCTCCCTGTTGGCCTGGTCCAGTTCCCAGCTGGCTTGCCCAGTCCCAGGAGCACAGAGGCCTGGCGACTGACCCCAGCGGGCCTTGGTTTCCGTCCATTGGAACTGTGCAAACTGTGGGGCAGGGCCCCACAGTTTGCAGATTACAGGAATAAACTGCCTGGAAAGGCTGAGAGAAGCTCTCCTGCTTCCTGAGAGGGTGGGAAGAAGCTAGAGGGGAAGCCCAGAGGAAGAGGTCCCAATTGGAATTGGGTCATCCATTTCTCCTACTAGCTGTGGAGTGGAGAGGGAGTCTTTCAGAGGCTGCTTTATTGCTTGGGAGGCCTCATTGATCAGGGCACAGAGGATTCATCCCCCAGCCTTTGCATCTTTGGCCTGCCTAGAGTTCACTGGCTCAGAATATAACTGGCTTCCATGGCCATGGCACTAGCTAGAATATGCCACACTAGCGCTCCACCTGGCTCTGAACCTTTGGATTTACAAGTGTTCTTCCAGGTCATCTTCTAGCTTTGGGTTTTAATTAGTCTCAGTTATCCTGGGTTTAATAAGTCCCTTAAACTAGGAGCGGGTGGAAAGGGCTGGCTGGGTGAGCCTGAAGACTCCGTAATCAAAGTCCCTGGACTGGACAGGAAACTCAGCTTCTAGTTTCACTACCTATGAAAGCTTATCCTAATTTGAGAGGGAATCACTAGTAGCATTTTGTTTAATACTAAATCCATAAAGTCTTTTGAGGACGTCCAAAAGGAGATGCAGGTTGTGGAGCTTCCCCCTCTAGCAATGGAAGCTTATCTCTTCCGCCAGGGGACCTATAACTACACTTCTCCACTCTCTGGTCCTTGAGGTTCATCTGAGATTGTCACCTTGAGGCCTAGAACTCCCTTTATATCTAAACTAGAAAGAAGAGAGCTTTAGAGTGGTAATGAGTAGGGGGCTCTGTGGTCCTGGTCAGCAAACTCCCTCTGGAATAGTTGGCAGAAATGTGAATCCAGAAAAACACACCCTCATACAAGTCTACTCCAGGCTTTTGCGATTTTTACCAGTTATTTCCTTTGAAACTTGAGTGTCAATCTCAGGGTATCCTTTCTGCTGCCTCATTGGGCTGTGCCCAACCACCCTAAAACCTTAAAAAAATTTCTTCTGGGAAAGGAAGAAGGCAAAACGAGTGGAGAGAGAAGATAGAGGATTAACACAATGGAAGGGAAGAGAAGAAAGCTGTGCTGATGATGAGAAAATAAGCAGGGGGTGCTGTGAGCTGAGTGGGCCAGGAACTGGGAGAAGAGGTGAGGAGGCAGGGCCGGCATGCCTCTGCTGCTGGCCGGAGCTCTTTTCACATTGTGCTACTGTCTGCACCTATCACAAGCAGTGCAATGTTAAAAGGGCATTGGCCTTGTAGTGCTATCCAACGCCGGCTGCCTCCTCAGCATTGCTAGTGTTCTCCCTTCTGGGCACCAATCAGCTACCCTGGAGGAAATTTGGGAAGCCTCACTTAGTTGTACTAACAGTTCACATTTTTAGAGCCACTTCTGTGTGCAGTGCATGTGCTAGACACTGCATACATGGTTGTGATCTGTTTTAACTTGGCAGGTAGCATCCCCACYTGACAGGTGAAAACACTGAGGATCAGAGAGGTGTAGGCTGTTTGGCCGAGGAAGGTTATGTGGATTTTCATAATTGTAAGTCGGGCAGCTMACCCATCATTAGTAGACCTACATGGAAGGATCTGAGTAGATTCTCTTACTGGGAGATCTTGCTGAGCTGAGGAGTGGAAGGTTTTGATGCCATCTGCTGTTTATAGGAAGATAATCTTACAAAGTCAAGTAAAAGGATAAATGTGACAGCTCCTTGGGTAAGGACCAGGCTATCAGACTCGATGTGGGATAGAGAGTAGGGGGAGAAGATTGGGAAACCACTGAGAAGACCTGTGAGAAAAAGGATCTTAGCCAGGTGCAGTGGTGCACCTGTCATCCTTGCAACTTGGGAGGCTGAGGCAGGAAGATGGCAAGTTTCAGACCAGCCTCAGCAACCGAGACCCTGTCTCAAAAAAGAAAAAAAAAAAAAAGAGGGACTGGGTGTGGTGGGGCATGCCTATAATCCCAGCAGCTGGTGGGGAGTGGTCCTGAGACTGGAGGACCACAAGTTCAAGGCCAGCCCCAGCAATTTAGTAAGTCCCTGACTCAAGATAGATCTCAGTGATAAAGTGCTCCTGGATTCAATCCCCACTAAACACCACCACCCCCTGCCAAAAAAAGGAAAAAGGGAATGTACAGGAAAGAAAAAGTGCCACTTACAAGGACCATTCTTTAGGGAAAAAGACCTAGTCCCCCTCACATCCAATACCTGCAGCTCCTCCCTGGCTTAGGACTTGGAAATGAGATCTCATCCCTCTCCTCCTTTCAATTGCAATTATCAGAATGATCCCTTTTGGTCAGAGGCTATTTGATAATGATGGTTCTTGAAGGTACACCTGTCTGGGCTTCCAAGAATTGGATAGTATTGCTTATGACCTGATTTTAGAGATTAAATAGTATTCCTTGAGCCAAGCACACTGAATGATTTCTTCCAAGAGAGATTATAAGGAATTTGAGAATAACTGTGTTGTTTACTTCTCTGTCTCCCCTGGTGCCTAGCTGGCTTCATGAGAATGTATTACAGAAAATTGGGAGGTATATTTGGAGTGCTTTTCTATGAAGGCAGCCAAAGGGCAGGGAGGTAACCCAGTGGTAGAGGGTTGGCCTATCATGCCTGGTGTCACGGGATTCCCAGTACTGGTTGGRATAGGATGGGGGGAGAAGGCGGCAATTTAAGCTGGGTACAGTGGTACACACCTATAATCCTAGGTAATTGGGGTTGAGGTAGGAGATCACCAGACCAGATTGAACAATTTACAAAGGGCTGGGGGTGTAGCTTAATGGTAGAGCACTTGCCTATCATGTGCAAGGCCCAGGGTTCCATCCCCAGCACCACACACAGAGGCAGCTAGTTTGTGCCTGGTTTTCAAGGGCAGGAGGTGGGACTGTGAGAGAGTTGGAGTCCTCTGTAAGAGCCTCATGTAATTCCTCATGTAGAAACTGCATGAGGATGGTAGCCATGGGTCTTTCCTGGCTTCTGTTTGCTCTTTCTTTGCCCTTCTCTCACCTCTATGCTTGCAGGTGTCTCTCCTGCCTGGTCAGCCTCTCCATTCTGAAGTTGACAGTATTTGAGATGGTACAGTTAGCATTATATCCTTACTTTCTTCAGTCTGTTAAAACTTTTATTTGAGCCTCCTGTCTGGGCATAAGAGTGATGCCTCTCCACTCTTACTAAAAAGCAAAATTTTTCCATGGTTCCACAGTGCCCTTGGGATGTAATCTAGACTTCCTCAATGATTTATAGACCCATCCTGTCTCTTGTTTCATTTCTTATCTCATGAAGCTGCACCTATATTTCAGCCACAAGAAATGTTTCCTCAAATTAACTAAGCTTGAGCCACCTGACACATGGTTCTGCCTGAACTGCTCCCCTGAGTCTTGCCTTTTGCCTACCTAAATTTTAATATTTCAAGCGCTAGCATAGTCTCCCTTCTGGGTAGCCTTCCTTGACTCCTCAGGTCTAGGCTTTTCCTCTCCTGTAAGCTCTGGAGTCTTCTCTGTTCTCTTAGATCCTTTAATCACATCCCATTGTGATTATCTGGTTATTGTTTTCCTTGCACTAGACTGAAAGGTCCAAGAGGTGGTCTATAAATATTTGCAAATGAGTGAATCTGAAATAACAATGTAGTTTATAAAAGGTGACTTACGTGTCAGTCTCCCCTGAAGGTACTGGTCACCCTAAAATAGTTGAAATTATCATTGCCCCAAAATGTCCCTTAGGTTACACAGTTGCTTTGATAACTATGTTTGAGCTATTTTGTGCTATTTCCTATTAAGGGCCAGTGCCACACCTGAGCTAAAAGACTTTGCTTTTAGCCTTAAAATGTATCCATTCACTTAACAAAACATAAAACTAGGCCAAAAAATATGGGGTCCAAGAAAACCCTTGTTTTGGAATGAGCCTCTTAGAGACACCCAATCCTGGATATAAGTAAAAGTGGACTTGTTGGTAAGGGCTCCAGAAGACAGCTGGGTGTTTACAAAGCCCCATCCCTTCATAAACAACCCAGGCTGAATACTTTGCTAAAGGCTCAAGTGGGGTATATTGCCACAGACAAAGCAACTGCTGCCCCCTAGTGGTATTAAGGGACAGGCTCCCTTGGGTATAGTGAAGGGAATGGTGAGTAGTACATGCACAAAGGAAAGTCAGAGGACAGGGCCTCACAGTTGCTTTTCCCCTTTTTATTAAAAATAGACCCAAACACTTTATATATCATACAAAAGTTTCTTTCGCTGGTGGCAACCACAGGGAAGACTGGTCCTGTGGTGCTGATGATCCACCTCCCCTCCAGGGGACTGGGTCCCAGGGAGCAGTGGTTGGGCCTTGAAGAATACCCATAAAGACTGCTTGCTCTGGAAATGGCCAGCTGAGGGTGGGGGCTGTTCCAGGGGCAGCTTTCCCCACCCCGCCCTATGGCAAATATTAGATACTCAAAAGTGCCTCTTTAGTGCCAAGGTAAACTAACAAGTGGAGTGAGATGGAAACCCCCTGTGACTTTATTTCCCAGGGCCTGGGACTTGGGTGTTTCCTCCCATCCCTATCCCCATCCCCTGCCCTGAGTTCTGTTCTCTGCAAACGGGAGTGGGAAGCTATTTGCCCTCAGAGACTCTAGTCTCCTGGTGTATGATGCCAAAATTTCATTCCAACCTAAACTGTTTCTTTGATATTCTGTGACCTAGGACCTCTTAGCCCCACAACCCAAGGTTTATCCTTTTCTCCACTCAAAAAAAGGGAGGTCAAAATCCTGATTCCTCCCATGATCCTCTGCCTGAGTCCACACCCTGCCATCACCTCAATTTCCAGGAACTTGGGAATAAAAGGGCCCACAACCACCCCTTTTTTCCCAATTCTGTATTTCCCTAACTGCTGCCCACTCCTGAGCCTTGAACACCCCTGGGGTACCCCAGGCCCCTGTTCCAAAGGGGACCTGGTAGTGATGTGGTGGAGGCAAGGAAGGCGTTGGTTGGAGCCGGGCTTCCCCCAGGGGTGGGGCAGTGCTCATGCTGGTATGGACAGCTTGGTAGGGCCAGGGGACAGGTGTGAAGAGGGTGGGRCATGCGGAGGAAGGGCATAGCCTGCCTGAGCCCCCTCAGTCCCAGCCATTGTCCTTCACCATGTGTGACATTTCAATGATGTACTTCCCTTCCTTGTACTTCTGGCTGGTCTCAAAAGCTTGTTCCTGTGGAGAGCAAAGTGGGTGAACACAGGACAAAGGTGTTCCCCTCCAGGCCCCACCACTGTATTACCCCTACCCAAGGCCCCTGATCCAGTCCAACCCACTTTCCAGCTCCCTATTTCCTTGGACCATGCAGAGACCTGACATGTGGTCACTGGGGCCTGGAAGGTCATGGGGCTGTCTAGAATGTGGCCCTCTTCACCAAGTACTTACATATTTCCAGCCCAGTGTGGTCTTGCAACTTTCACAGAAAATATCTGCTACCGAGTGAAGCCCTGTGAGCAGGAGGCGCTGTTCTGCTGGCCCACAACCCACGTTGACCCTGTCTCAGAAACAAGAAGGATCCAGCCCCCGAACAGCCCAAAGGGACTTCCATCTGGAAAACTGGGGCCTCTGACTTAAGCAATCCACCCCATTGTGACTAGTGCCTGGGCCTTCTTTCTCCAGTGCTGTGATTTCAGTTCTGCCCGGACTCTTCCACAAAGAACTGCAGACTGACTTTGTACAAAAAGTCTTTTTGCTTTTGCAAAAGGGGAGGTGAAGCCAAAGGTACAAGATCACATTCTGGGCTAGGGGTGTAGCACTGGTAGAACACTTGCCTAGCATGCGTGAGGCCCTGGGTTCCAGCCCCAATCATCTCCTAACAGCTGACCCCCTTCATCCACAAAGGAAAATTGTTCACACACAAGCACGCACGCACTAAGAAAGAGGTAGACTCACACGGAGTTAAACAGGTAGGCTCGGCCATGGCTCCCCTGGAAGGACTGTGGAGACAGGACAGACAGTGACCACTGGGTAGCCTCAGCCCCACTGACAACCCCTGAGGTGTGGGGAGACGAGAGCTTTGCTGCCTCATCCCTAGGTGATGTTTGGGCAACCTGTCCTGAGGGGTGGAGTGGCAGACCCCCATTTTAGCATACCTTGGAAATAAGCTCATCATGTTTGGCCAGGTGTGCACGACAGTGGACACAGCTGTAAGTGCGGTGGCAGCGGGGCAGGTAGCTGCGGAACGTCTTGGTGGGAAGGCAGGCAGGGGCCGGACCAGGGTCACAGCTGGGCATGACAGGCTGGAGGACGATGCCCTGGCGGGCTGGAGGGGCTGGCGCTGTGCAGCCCCCACAGAGACGGTCGCAGGTGAAGCAGCGGAGCAGGTTGGCTAGAGCCGTGTTTCAGGGCAGGAGAAATGTGGGGGGCTGCCCGGCCAGGGCCCCCCCAGACGAGAACCAGATAGAAATAGAAGTCACCTGGGAAGAGGAGAAAGTGCATCAGAAGAGCTGTGACCTTATAAGGAGCCACTTATGACTGCCTGGAGGAGGTGGGGCTCAGTTCTCTATGCTTCTCTCCCTGTCATCAACCCTGCTCAGTGTCCAGTTGCACTGTCTCCCTGTTCCCTGGAGCCCCATTCTGCTCTGGCAAGCCTGGCAGTAGTTCCAGGCTTCTTATGCCATAGCCGGGGAGCTGGTCTCTCTCTCCTGGGGCAGTAGCAGCCTCTATGGTTTTCCACTGAGAGTCACCTGCTGGCATGAGTGCTGCCATGGGAGCAATATCCTCTGCAAGGGCCCTGTCCTTGGTATTCCTTTCTTGTGTGAGAATCTGTACCCTACAAGCACTAGTAGTTACTATGTCTTGGACTCAGTTGGGGCTTTTGTGGACTCCGTTTGCAATGCAGTGGGTTCATTATACATTTCTTATGGGAGGGAGGGGCAAGATGAGGTGGTGGGAGCAGCAGGCGGGTGCATACACCTGGCGTCTCCTGGGGGCAGGTCCTGCACTCTAGGACTCTCCACTAGAACTTTATGGATGTCTCCTTTAGTGCCAAAGATGTCACATGTGGCTGTTCCCCAGTTTTGCACTGTGACTACTCATTCCAGCCCAGAAGGCACACCCAACTGACTCCCCATCCCCTGAGCTCCTCCCCCTTCCCCCTCTAGTATTGATTATGGAACCCAGGTCTTCCCACATGCTAGACAAGCGCTTTACCACCGGGCTACATCCCAGCCCTCTCTTCACTGTTTACTCACTGTTTCCTTATTCCTGGGTTAAAGACTAAGGCATCCCACTGTAGGAGAGAAGATAGCTTTCCTTTGGCAAATCTGACAACTGGACCAATGGGAAATGGGTACCACGTCAAAAACAAAACAAAAAAAACCAGACTCCTGGGCTGTGCAGGGTTGTGTGGTGGTATAGTGTAAGAGCAATGTCCACAATAAACAACAGATGGTGGGGGAGAACTCCTTATTTATAAAGGCTATGCTTTGGGGCAAAARGCAGAAACTATTCCCCCTTCTCCCAGGTTCAGGGACAAACAGCTTTGACTCTAGGTGACGGAAGATGAAATAATTGCCGGATTCTGATTAGGGATCTTGAAGATGTTGGTATCTGCCCACACTCCAGTCCCAAAGTGGCTGAGAATGCTGGAGGCAGGGGATAAGAAGGGAGGTGTCTTCTGTTGGTTCTGATAAGCAGTTGAGGTGCCGCCTTCTCCTTCATCTGCCCGGCTGGCTGTTTTGTATGGTTCAGTCCAATTCTGGTTCAGAGATGCCAGCTGGGTGCTCTGGCAATGCTAGACCACCAAGCGGAGGAGGTGGTGCTGGCTCCAATTGCCAGGGCAAACGGGCTCTCCCTGTCCTGTCCTCTGCAGTGGCCAGAAGCGCCCCAGCTGCTCCATTCTTTCAGTAGGCTGCCAGGCAGTCTCTCCACTAAGCCCTCAAACTGAGACCATCTTCAGTTTCAGGACCTCTCCCCTTGGCAGGGGCCCAGGAAGACACCTTGGGCTGAATTCAGGGTGACATTGGGTCTGGCCTCAGGAAACGGGCCCTCCTCACTAGGAGACTCCTGTTCGGCCTCCTTTTCACATGTTTGCCTTCAACTTTGCCTGAGTTCCCCTCTGACACACACCACCCTGAAACCTCTACTACTACAGGGGCTGGAGGAACAGGGGCCAGCTTAGGTCCCTGCTCTCAGACTCCTTCCCCAGCCTCCATCCGTCACGCCTCCCTCCCTCACCCCTGCTTCCCCAATAGCCCAGGGGAGGTTGCACAGAAGGCCAGAAAATCACGCAAGGGAGAGTAGGGGTCATTTCTTCTCCCCTCTCTGATCACAGGGAGAAAGCAAGTTGGGCAAATGGGGGGGGGGGGGGATAAAGGCAATCTGAGTGTTGGGAAGAGGATGTTTCCCTGATTTGCRATGGGGCTGGACTGTGGGAGGTGGGGGAAGAAGAAGGGCTGGCAGAGGGGAGGACTGACAGCTGACAGCAGAGGCACTGAGGCGGAGGCTGGAGGAACCAGGTGCAAATCCCATGCCTCTCAGGGAAAAAGAGACGGGGGAGGGGGACACCTGCTCATAATGGATGTTCTCATCTGCTCTGAGATTTTGGCCCCCTGGGCTGACATTTTCGGTATGGTATGGTCCAAGTAATTAGCAGTGCAGCCAGCTCCCAGGGCGGGCTTTGGGGGTCTGCACCAGCGGCAAAACAATAAACAGTGATGTCGGATGCTGCAGCCAAAGTTGCCGGAAAATAAGTGCGGGAATTGTCAGAGCTTGGAGAGGGATGGAGGAGCCGAGAGAGAGAGAGGAGAGGAGCAGAGGCAGCAGGGAGGGGGAAGGGAGGACAAAGGGTGGATGAATAATGCTTTTGCAAAGGGAAAAAAGCAACACGCAGCAGGAAGAGGAAATTTGCAAAGGGGGGAAAATTCATTTGGAGAAGGGCTGCCCCCTCACCTTGAGGTCTGCTCCAGAGATCTCCGTCTATCTCTCTCTCTCTCTCTCTCTCTCAATCTCTCAATCTTTCTGCTCACTCTTCTCTCTTCTCTTTCGGCTCCTTCAATTGGGAAGGGATGGGGGTGGGGGAAGGTAGTTGAGGGGCTCAAGACTGGGGCTGCAAAGCTGGACAGCTGCTGGGGGGCCAGAGGTTGTCTCTCGTTCTGTACCTCGGTCTGTGGGTGAATGTGGCTGTGTGTTGTGGAACTGCATCATAACACTGTGAGTCATCCATCCCCCCACCCCCCCTCACCTCCCACGTCAGAGCAGGGCTGGGAGACACAGGAGGCGGGTTGGGAGGAAGGGAGGGGGCAGGCATCCAGGGACTGGGCTGGAGGAGTGATGCAAGGGAGTTGGGGCAGAGGGGCGGGTGGAAAGGTGTTGGTGCTGGCGATGGGCGAGAGGCAGTTTGTTAAGAAGCAAGGCAGTATGGCCAAGGAGATAGAACCTGGGGGAAAGACAGAGCTGGGCAAGGATGGAGTAAGGGCGGCAGGGCTGGAGGAAAGGAGATAGCAAGGCTAATGAAGTGAGAAATGGATGCAGACAGCCAGGAAGTGCCCGTATACGAATTTAACATGATATATTTTCCCACTTCAGTTCAGACATCAACCCTGACACAGGGTAAAGGATGTACTGGTTTTCACGGATGGCAAACTGGGTTGCCAGACTTGCACTATACCAGGTACTTCCAAGCTTCAAAGTGTCAGTTTAGTGGTCTGAAGACGTCATAGATTAAATATGACATTTTGCGTGCAGGAACCTCATATCAACTGCCTCCAACTGCCTCCAAATTACTTGTGCTTCAGAATGGAGAAACCTACAACTTACATTACATAAAATTCTCTACTGTAAACTTCTAAGGCAGGTCCTCAGGGAAACTTCTTTCTGCATCCCAGGACTGCAGTGCCTAGTGCAGAGCCCTGCATACAGAAGAGACTTATAAAACAGTAATTGAGTTGCATCTTCAGATATGGACCAAGTGTATGGCTCAGGCTCAAAGACACTTGAGTTAGAATCTTAGCCCTAGGCACTAGCCAAGTTACTGATCCTCTTTACATCTCAGATTTCCTCTTTTGCCAAATTAAGCTAATAACAGTCATCTCATAAAGGTGCTAAGTAAGATAACATGGAAGTTCCCAAACCGTGCCTGGCACATGATAGGCATTTAGTAAACTGTAGTTAGTGTTATTTCAAAACTGCATCCTCAATTTATTACCCCTAAATCCATACTGGATTTAATAGTTCATTTATCCTCTCTGGATTTAGAGGGATGAGGCATAAGTCCAACTTGTGTCTTATGGAAAAACTACATTTAAAAAATATTTTTTTTAGTGTCGATGGACACAATACCTTTATTTTATTTAGTTTTCTTTTTTAACTTGGTGCTGGGATTGAACCCAGTACCACACTCATGCTAGACAAGCGTTCTACCACTGAGCCACAAACCCAGCCCAAAACTACAGTTTTTCCTTGCTACTTTTTTTATATCAGCTTTCCATTAAATCAAATTTGACATAGAATACTTCCCATGGAGTGCTGTCCTGTGTATGTCACTAAAGTATGTGGACCCAGAACATATCCCTTAGGACAAACCCCCTGGATTTTAACAAAGGTTAACATTCAGAAAGTCAAGTCGTGTTGTAGGTGATTTGCTTTCATTCTCACATGTAAGGGGTGAGGAAGTTAAGGCAGTGGAATGTGGATAATGAGAGGCATTGCTAGGTATGGGGAAAAAAAGGAATTCTGAATGTTTAATCAGAGTCAATTCTGGAGTTTAAGGTAAATTCTGAGAAGAATGTGGGTACTTCGAGGGATGGTACCAGAGGTTTGGAATTGAGAAGAGGAGCTGGGTAAAGAGAGAAGTGGTCTTGTCTGGACTGTAGATGAGAATGAAAACAGAGGAGGAATTTGAGGAGCCATTGTTAAGGAGAAAAAAGGAAGATTAGTTTTTACATTAGGCATTTTTCCCCCCAGTGGTGGGGATCAAATTCTGGCCTTGAACATTCTAGGCAAGCATCTTACCAAATCTCTAGCCTGGAAGATAACTTTTTAGGACATGAATTTAAGGTTTGAAAGCAAAAAGGATACCAGTGAATTTAAATTAATTCGAGAACAAAATTATCAAGCATTAGATGGCGAGGAGAGTGAGAAGGACATATGAAAACAGTATTATATTTGGGGGTGGGGTGTAGATGACAGGAGTGCTTGGTGGAAGACTAAAAGTGAGAAAAGAGAGTGTAGGCAAATACAGATGCTTTAAATGTTGTGCCCTTTTTCTGTGTTTAAGAAGCAAAATGGAGAGCACTCTAAAATGGATGGAAGAGAGGGTTCCTCTTAAATTCTGCTTGAGATGGTTATACAATATCCAAATAAAGATGACCTTTGGGAAATTGGGAGAAATTGCCTCAAGGGTGAGAATGTGGAGGCAAAGAAACAGAACAGGGAGATAGATTACAAGGGAATGAGGAAAGATGAGACCCAGGGAGAAAATTTTTAAATTTAATTAATTAAAATTTATTTTAAATTCATCATCATCATCATCAGTTTTGCAGTATTGGGGATTGATGGATGCTCTACCACTGATCTACATTCCCAGTCCTTTTTATTTTTTGAGACAGGGTCTCCTTAAGTTGCTCAGGCTGGACTTGAACCTGCCTCCTGTTTCAGTCTCCTGGGTAACTGGGATTACAGGCATGCTTGGCCCCAGAAAGAAATTTTCTAATTGGAGATTGGATTTAAAATTTTAAAGAATGGCAAACGATCAGTGGAAACCCAGTGGTTAATTGAACAACTAATGAACGCATGATGAATGAATACAATAATTAAAGCAAACCATCAAAGAAAACTGTGACAGGTGAGGACAGTAGTGCTTGAAAAGTGAGTGCTAAGTAAGGCCAGTAGGAGAAAGGCAAACCAGAAAATCTCATGCTTCTCAGTCTGGATTCACCATGTGAGCTGGGATTAAAAAAAAAAAAAAGTACTTATCTGTTTAAAAAAAATAAAGTACCTGTAAAATGGGAATGCCAATTATGGTATCTACTGCACAGGCTTCTTGCAAGATTAAATTAACTTACATCTGTCAAGCCCATACGAGTACGTGGCATCTAACACTACATAACTGTCATTATTATAACCATTATATAACTGGGCACAGACTCTCAAACTCTGGATTAGAGTTCTACCTCTACTACTGACTGTGAATGCTTGGGAAAGTGGCTTGCCTTAGTCTCTTTCCCAAACTGAAATTGGAGATAATAAAGCTAACTATGCAGGGTGCTGTGAAACAAGAAACCTGAAAGGACTTTCAGGTAAAGTACTAAACAGACGATATTATTATAGCCCCCCCCCCAGCATACAATAAAAACTTAAAAGTTAACATCAAATATTTCCTATAACACAAGGATTGTACTTAGTGCTTTACATGCATCATCTCATCCAAACTTTACAACTTTAAGAGGTTGGGTACTGTTATTATCCCCATTGTAGAAATAAGAAACATCTCAAAGACATGAAGCCTGTGATTTGCCCAGAGTCACACAGTAAGCAAGCAATTCAAGACTCCAAAGACCAGGCTCTTGAGGATTATAGATGTGGCTGAACCTGTTGGCTGCGGGGTATATGATTGACCTTGTATAACTATGAGAGATTTAGGGAGGGAAAGAGTCCCCGACAAAACTCCCGGCTCAGTGGGAGAGAGGTTGTTGGGTAACGACTGACTTAAAAGATAACTGGAAGGAATCACTGGACTTTATTCTTTCTTTAAAGAAAAAACTTTCTGAATGGCTTCCATGTGCCAAGCACTGTGTCAATATGGCCTCTGACGGACAGTTTTCCACCTGCCCAAACTGGGTTTGCCAATTTCTCCACTTACTGGCTTGTGAACCAGGCAAGCAGGCCATCGTGGGACTAGCTAGTGAGTCCCCTCCCCCTCCCTTTCTAGCGGCCCTCTGCTTTCCTAGGCTGCAGGTGGGGCAAAACCAAGCGGCCGACGCGTCTAGGAAGCGCTGGGGCCCCGCGCGGATGCGTAACCGCCACGCCTCCCGCCGACTCCGTTAACAATGGTGGCCACGCCCACCTAGGCCGTCACTGGCTAACAACCCCTAACTACAGTTCCCAAAGGCCGCGCGGCGCGCGTGCGCATTCGTCCCGCCGGACCCGCACGACTCCACGTCCTAGTGGGCTCCGCGCGGCCGCGCCTCCTCCTACTGCGCAAGAGCGGAACCATGTTTATTTCCGGCGTGCGTCTGACCCTGCGCAGTTTGTAGTTTTGTGCTGGTGGGGTCCTGGAAGGCTCTTGGGGTTGCTTGTTCGTAAGTGCGGCTGTGCAGGTAAGTTGATAAGCTCAGGAACACAGACGTTGACTCCTCGGGGACCTGGGCAGATTTGGGGGTGTCTGCGACAAATGCTGGACCTAGAACTGTTCAGAAATACTCTTTCACGTTCCCACAGGCCTTGTTATCCCCAGAACAATACTGTATGTCAGGAAGTTGAAGTCCCACCAGATGGCATCTGGGGAAAAAAGCTTCAGAGGTTGTCTAACGACACTACTAGTCGTTGGTGGGCCAGGCCGAATATTGTTGAGTCCAAGTCTGGTGTTCTCTGCTTTGCATCCGGATTGCAGACGTCCTTTTGTTGTTGACTTGCGTTTGCGAGTGGGCATCTGTTGCCTTCCCGTATACCAACAGTGTCGAAGCGAACTATGAGGATGATAAATCTGTCAGTCCGTAGTTGTTTTCCTCTAACGCCTGAGTCATTCACTCACTGTATTTATTGAGGTGCTTACAGTGTATCAGGCTCTATTGTGGGTATAGAGATAGGTAGCAAACAAGAATGCCCAACCCTACTTTCTAGTGGTAAACAAAAACATGGTGAGACTGAAGGTAATAAGAAATACGGTGAAAAAATAAAGGGTGAAATCTATCAGAAGATTTTGAAGAGGCCTAACTCATGATTAGATCTGATATTTGTGTTGTAGGCACAGTGGCTACACAGAAAAGATGGGAGAGGAGGCCAATGATGACAAGAAGCCAACAACTAAATTTGAACTAGAGCGAGAAACAGAACTTCGCTTTGAGGTGGAGGCTTCTCAGTCAGTTCAGTTGGAGTTGCTGACTGGCATGGCAGAGATCTTTGGCACTGAGCTGACTCGAAACAAGAAGTTTACTTTTGATGCTGGTGCTAAGGTGGCTGTTTTCACATGGCATGGCTGTTCTCTGCAACTGAGTGGCCGCACTGAGGTGGCTTATGTTTCCAAGGACACCCCTATGTTGCTTTACCTCAATACTCACACAGCCTTGGAACAGATGCGAAGGCAGGCAGAAAAGGAAGAAGAACGAGGCCCTCGAGTGATGGTAGTGGGCCCCACTGATGTGGGCAAGTCCACAGTATGTCGCCTGCTGCTCAACTATGCAGTGCGTTTGGGCCGCCGTCCTACTTATGTGGAGCTGGATGTAGGCCAGGGCTCTGTGTCCATTCCTGGTACCATGGGGGCCCTCTACATTGAACGGCCAGCAGATGTTGAAGAGGGTTTCTCTATCCAGGCCCCTCTGGTGTATCATTTTGGCTCCACCACTCCTGGCACTAACATCAAGCTTTATAATAAGGTCAGAGCTGGAGCTAGACTGGTGGAGGGAAGGGTTGCTTTCAGGGTAGGAAGCTGTGGGGAAGTTTGGTAGTTAAAAATGCACACATTGTTCCTCTCATCTTATTGTTCCTACTTGTATCACTACCACATGATTTCAAAAAAGGCAGTTTCAAATATGTTAACCTCAGGTTGCTAGACGTTTTTGTGGACTTAGTAATTAAATTTCCACTTGACATAAAACAGGAAGCTTAACAACAAAAATAAATCCATGTTAGAGGTTTAAAATCACAGACATTAAGGGCTGGGGATATGCTCAGTTGGTAGAGTGCTTGCCTTGCATGCACAAGGTCCTGGCTTCAATCTCCAGCAAGGGGGGGGTGGAATCAGACATTAAAATGTCATTTTGGGGCTGGGGATGTAGTTCAGTGGTTGAAATGGGTTTGTTCCCTAGCACAGCAAGCACACACACAATCATTTTTCTTGGACCTTGAACCAGTTACTCTGTTGTTGAGGAACAGAATAGCCTTGAATCTGTCTGGTGTTTTTGTTCTCATCTTGATCCTTTCTTTTGCAGATTACATCCCGTTTAGCAGATGTGTTTAACCAGAGGTGTGAGGTGAACCGAAGGGCATCTGTGAGTGGCTGTGTCATTAATACCTGTGGCTGGGTCAAGGGCTCTGGCTACCAGGCCTTGGTGCATGCAGCTTCAGCTTTTGAGGTGGATGTAGTTGTGGTTCTAGATCAAGAAAGACTGTACAATGAACTGAAACGGGATCTGCCTCATTTTGTACGTACTGTGCTGCTCCCTAAGTCAGGGGGTGTGGTTGAACGCTCCAAAGACTTCCGCCGGGAATGTAGGGATGAGCGAATCCGTGAGTATTTCTATGGATTCCGAGGCTGTTTCTATCCCCATGCCTTCAATGTTAAATTTTCAGATGTCAAAATCTACAAAGTTGGGGCACCTACTATTCCAGACTCCTGTTTGCCTTTAGGCATGTCTCAGGAAGACAATCAGCTTAAGCTAGTACCTGTCACCCCTGGCCGAGACATGGTACACCACCTATTGAGTGTTAGCACTGCTGAGGGTACAGAGGAGAACCTTTCTGAGACAAGTGTGGCTGGCTTCATTGTGGTGACCAGTGTGGACCTGGAGCATCAGGTATTTACTGTCTTGTCTCCAGCCCCTCGCCCACTGCCTAAGAACTTCCTTCTCATCATGGATATCCGGTTCATGGATCTCAAATAGAGATCAGCAAGAAGCCTTTCTTTCTGGGCACAGAGATCTTGTGGCCATCACCAAAGACAAATGGGCTGAAATATGAGAATCTTCTGAGGCCAGCTGACCAGGAAACTAGATTAGTAGAAAACATATTCTACCTCTTAAAACAGATGGTGGTAACCAAACTCTGAATCAAAGGGAGAGCCATGAGAACCATGAAAATATAATTGTTAGATCACCTAAGATGCTACTTCAAATTCTCTTAAGACCCTGGAGAATTACATTTCTTTCACTTTACTACCATATAGATTTTTTAAAATCACTTTATATTCCATATATAATACTTGCTGTCTCATTTATCCAGTATGAAAGTATGAATTTAGAGGAACTCCTTTCAACAAACTTCAAATTTAAAAAGTTTTTAATAAATATTTTTATCTCATAGAAGTTGGTGTAATTTTTAAATTTTTTATTTTTTCTTTAAGTGTTATAGGAATGTTATTGGAATGATTTATTGCTCAAATACTTAGAGAAAGGAAAATCAAGAACCTACCTGTAAGTCAAGCAAGTGAGTTTTTTTGTTGTTGTTGTTTACTGATTTTCATGTGGTGCTAAGGATTGAACCTAGTGCCTCACATGTGCRAGGCAAGCACTCTGCCACTGAGCCACAACCCCAGTCCCAAGCAAGTGAGTTTTTATGATGGTTCCCCTTAGCATTTAGGTAAATAAATGGTCAATCTATTGTTTAGTGCTGGATTTACTCTGGGGAATGAAAGAGGCTGGTGATAATCAATGGGATGAGATTTCAGATCTAATTTCCTGGCGGTAGCTTTTTTTCTCTCCATTACAGTTAGGTTTTTTTTTTTTTTTTTTTCCCCTGTTATCCATTTGATTGGAACCAGGACCTAACTCAAAGTGTAACAGGTGGTATGGTAAGAAGCTGGGGAAGCCCATTTTGATCTCCTGCAAATGACTGGTGTCCCTAGTTTGGGCTTGGATTACTTATGTATCTGATGGCATTCAGCCACTCCTTCTTTCCACAAATATGTAGGTTATTCCACAAATCTATTCTGCCAGGAACCATTCTAGGTGGAAAACATGATAAAGTTTTAAGGAGCTTATTGTAAAGGATAAACAAATTTAAAAAGGCAAGTGCTATATAGAGGTTTAAATTTGGCTAATATGAAGCTGGGCACTGTGGTGCAGGCCTGTAATTCCAACAACTTGGGAAGCTGAGGCAGGAGRATTTCAAGTTCAAGGCTCATCTGAGCAACCTATATCCTGTTTCAAACTCAAAGATAAAAATGCGATAAGGTAGTGATAACTGGAGGTTACCTATAGATTGGGTGGTCAGGAAAGATTTCCAGGACACATTCTGAGTAAGACCTGAATGGCTAAATTATGCTTTCGACAAAAACCTTGGTAGAGGAACAATGTAAAACCCTAAGAAAGGAATGAACTTAGTGAATCGGGTGAAAAAAACAGCCAGTGTAGTTGAGAGTGTAGGGGGAACCAAGGCAAAGCAGTAAAAGATGAGGCTTGAAGGGGCAGCAAAGACCAGATAATGTAGGGCTTTTATATAAATCAGGGAGATGGACATAACTTTCCTAAGTTCATACATGAATACACCACAGTAAAACTCTTTATCATCTACAACCACAAGAATGTAATCCTAATTAGAGTAAGTTATACTCCAGGTATGTATAATGTGTCAACTAGATTGGTTATATGATTAGGGAAACCTTAAGGAGGGAGCAAGGGAATAATAAAAGAGTGTTTTGGTATTGTTAAAGTTTGAGCTATTAGTCATTCTTATAGAGATATAACAAATGGCTAGAGTATGAAGAGTTAGGAAAATTAAGGATGAAGGTTCATGAAAGCTGCTGGCAATATAGACAGCATTTAAAGCAGCAYTATTGGATCAAGTAATTTAAGACTGAAATGAGAAAGAAGCAAAGGATGGAATGAAGAGCCCAAGCAGGGGCTGGGGATATAGGTCAAGCTCTCAATTCTAGCATGTACAAGGCCTAGGTTGGATCCCCAGAACTACAAAAAAAAAAAAAAAAGATTGGGGGGCATACTAGGAGCTATCAAAGGAGACTTCACTATGGATCTAGAAGCACTGATGTTATTTCAGTATTTACTTTGAAAAGATAAATCTTGGAATGGTGGGAGATAAAAGCCCTACTGAAATAGAATGAAGAGATAATATCAACTGAGGAAGTAAAGAACTACAGACAACGCCAGGTGCAATGGTGCATACCTGTAAACCCTGCAACTCAGGAGGCTTAGGTAGGAGCCTTGTGAGTTCAAACCAGCCTCAGCAACTTAGTGAAGTCCTAAAGAATTCAGTGAGGCTCTGCTTCAAATTAAAAATGAACTGGGGAGGGCTGGGGTTTATCTCAGTTGTAAAGCGCTTGCGTAGCATATGTGAGGCACTGGGTTCAATTTTTAGCACGGCATAAAAATAAAGGCATGCTGTCCATCTACAACTACCAAAAAAAAAAAAAAAAAAAAAAGGACTGGGGACGTAGCTCAGTGGTTAAGTACCTGGGTTCAATTCCTGGTACAAAAAAAAAAAAAAAAAAAGACTAGTCTTTCAAGCTTTGCTAAGAAAGGGCATGGGGAGGTGGAAGAAGTGTTAGTTTTTTAGATAGGATGATGCCTCTCCACAGCCTAGAAGGAGAGAAATTAATGATGGATGGTATTTTTGGCAGTATTTTTTTCTGCATATTTAAAATTTTCAAGTAACATGTCAAAATTAGGAAGAAAAAGCAGATGTGCAAGGGATGGGATTCAGCACATAGGAGAAGATTGTCCTTTATCACAGGGAGAGATTTTTTTCCCCCCAGTGGGTGGGAGATCTAGGTATTGAACTCAGATAGGGCATTCTTCTCTGCTGAGTTGAACTAAAAGTGACCCTGTGGTTTGCCATCTATAGGCACAAGAAAATGCAAATGAAGAAGGTTCAATAAACATAAGCCACATTAGAAAAACTATAAGGAATAAGTTTTTTCTTTTTTTGTCAAGCTCTGGATTGAATCCAGGGCCTTGAACATGCTAGGCAAGTGCTATACCACTGACCCACATTGCCAGCCCAGGAATAAAAAAACTTAAAACATGAAAAACAACTGGTAGATATATCAAAGTAATATATTTCAAGTATGATGATCTGGCTATATCTAATTGTTTTAGCCTAGATTTCAGTCTGGATTACTTTTCAGAAGTGGCCAGCAGGTTAACATTATATTCTATGAAATATCCTTTCTAGGATGTACTTTGCATGATTCCTAACTGGGCAAGAAAATAGAATCTCTCTCCAAACTTTAGGAGATGCCTCTGTTAGTGCTCCTCCAGCTAAAAATGAGTTGATAATGGATAATAGTTTAATGTTCTTATTGACCCAGAGGAGTTCAGTACCTGTAGTTGCATGGTGGAAGGCTGACTTTTTTCCATTGAGCCCTGTCTAGCCAAGAGTCATCACTATTTACAGGTTCTTAGTTGAAAGCAGGAAAATAAAAATACCTAATTTGTGAAGTATTGGAAATAAAGTTTTAAAATCCAAGAAAAATATACAACAGAAAAATGAAGTTTGACTTCATCTTAAGAACATGAAGAGGCAGAAAATGTAAGAATTGTCTCCAATAATATATATTTTATGATTTAAAGGTTTAAAAAATACTAAAAAAGAACTCTTGAGTGTATTGCATTAAGTGGACTGAAACCTGTAACACAAGAATGAACCAAAATTGATATGTATGTCATGTCAGAGAAGGAACTAAGCTAGTCCCTATTAAACATGAGGCAGACTTCTCCTTTACCTTGCTGTCTAATGCTAAAGTGTCAGAACCACCGTTAAACCACTAACATTGAAACCAAATCCGAGGCCACAGCAGGATTGATCATATTTGACACATCGGGAACCTTGGCCTCAGAGAATTGGCTGCTGGGGCACTTTTTTTGAAGGGCTATTATGTAATAGCCAAAGCTGCTTTCAAATGAGAAACAGCCTCGAGTTGAAGGAGACAGCATGTGGCATTGCTATTGGGTTCACAGCTGTCTTGGGCTAATTAGGGCAAAGTGTAGCACTGTGATCTACGGAGAGTCGGCCAGCAGCTCGCCAGGGACAGTAGCTATTCTAGAAAACCTTTTCTGCCTGTGTTCTCAAATTGGGTGAGGTCAGGGATGCAGTTGCCCATCCCTGGTGCTGCAGTGAAGGAACTACAGAAATTAAGCGGAATCAACAGCCGGCTCGTACTCTGGGGGCTACCACCGCCTCAGATCGCATGCACTCCCTGCACTTCCCTGCCAAGGCTGGCGCCCGCTCTCCTTCATCTCCATCCCCGGACCTTAACAGGAGCCTCACCCTACACTGGCTCTTCTAGTTGGGGCGCCCCCCTCCATGTGAGAGCCACAGCCCARACCATTCCACTACCCAGGAATTCTTCTGGAACCAGGGAACTTGAGGGACCGAAGACTTACCCAGCAAGATCGTTTTACATAAAGTTTTGGCCATTAAGGGAAAAAGAACCCAAAAAAACAAAAACGGATGGTGGAGGAGGAGGCCTACTTAGTCACCTCATCGTTGGCCAATGCGTGAAGGGGCGAAGCAGGAAGACTGAGAGACCTATTGGTAATTGGTTGCTCTAGAAGCCTGTCTGGACTGTACCACACTTACTTGGAGGGGGTTTGGCGAATTCGAGAGGGTAGTTATTTGCTTTTGAGCGCTTCTAATACACACGCACGATATATATTCTTTTAATTTCCAAAGTTTTCTGCTTGAATACAGCAGGAATAGAAAATAGGACGAAAGAAAAAGGAGGACTCGCCTGGCCGTTTCCTCATTCTTGACTCCTGCGCAATTCGCCAATCGCCCTTTAGCCGTCGTCCGCGGAGCCCGACTACCTTGCGCGCGCGTTCCCGCTTTTCTGCGTGCCTGCGGCGCTGTGCTCCTGCAGCCAATCAGAACGCGAGGTCGCCGCGGTCGCCTCGGTTCGCGCGCACGCCCCAGAGCGCAGTGGGGGTGGGGGCTACGGGTGAATGGGAGAGTGAGCGGGGGCGGGCACGGCGGCGCGAGCCGCATGAATGAGAGGAACGTGCTCCGCGCGAGACGTCGCGCGCGCCCGGGCCAGGGAACCAATGGGAATGCCGGGAGGGCTAGAGAACCGGCACTGAGGGCAACGGCCGCGCGCCGGCTGGAAGACGAGCGTCGCCGGGCGGGAGCGCGCGGGAGCGGGGCGGGCGTGGAGCGTGCGGGGGCCGCGCGCTGCCTCTCAGAGGCCGGACGGCACTGCCGAGAGGCGGTGGTGACAACGACGGCGGCAGAGACGGGCACCGCGCCGGGGGTGAGTACCGGGGACACCGGCCCCTGCGGAACCGGAAGTGCCGGGCCTGTGAGGTGGGAGGGGAGAGTGACCTCTAGGGAAGGGGGACTTAGGAGGGGG